GCGTGTGTGGTATTACATCACATTTAAAATCATGAAATAATTTAATAACTCTAAATTAAATTGTCTTCAATACCATGTTTTTACTATACCAGTAACTTTATATTGTCATTCTTGTAGCAAAGTGACTTGCAGTTAATTGTGTTGTGCTTAGAACATATAGAAGACATAGCGGAAGAATTCACATCAGTAAAAATGGTGGATGGATTTCGGAATGATTTCCACAGCGTTGTAGACGTGACATGTACTGACATTGTACGTGGTTGAAAGACAAATCAAATAATCAGCTTGAAATATTCCAGAAATCAAAGGTACGTTTCAGTGCCTTAAAAAGCTTAATTTATTTGTCTACATTTTGAGGTGAAATAATAATTTTTAGCTCCACTGTCGACTTCATCAAACAGGGCTATTCTTATTACCGATTGTTTTTGTTCGTCCACATCAACTTTTTACAACGTCTGTGTCAGCTCAATACATTTCCCACTTCTTTCTAAAGAGAGAAAGTCCAATTGGTTTGATGCTTGTTATACATGTACCTCTAATTGACCTCTTTCAGATTTGTTAATTTTGTGTCAATATCTTTAAATCTCTAATTTTGATTAATAAATAAGATTGATTAATGCCACAAGTCTGATAGCTTTGATATTTCAAATACGACTCACTCTGATTCATTTGATGATAGCATCTTCTTTTTGTTAATTAGGCCAGACTTTTTTTATTCCTTGTTTCTCGAGTTTTTATAAGCGAATTTTTTTGAGGAGGGCGAAAAAAATAATAAAATTAATTCTTTTTTTTTATTAGATTTGTGTGATTCTCAAAAGATTGTAAGTGAGATCAATGATCGGAGGGAAGAAATGAAATAAAATTTTATTGCATGTATAACCTGGTTGGCAATGTCGCCAATTGTGGCACAATTTTCAGCATTAATGAGGGATTTCTCGGTTTTTGACGACAGAGTTTCATGGCGTGTCACCACAAACCACGCCGCCGCCATGTTCGCCTAGTAGTCTCAAGCAGTTCACAGAGAGGTCAATACCCGAGATTCACTGTAAACCAACGCGCATAAAGTATTAGATCTGCACGAGACTTCGGTACTTTGATCATGATACTCCCATGAAAATGCAACTTGGATTTGTCAGGCAGCGGGCTGAAAAAAAATGAAGATAAAAATAATTCTTTTTAGCAATTTAGAGAAATTACGCTGAAATAAAATTTTTTTTTTTTTTTATCTTTCGGCTTCTGTTCATTCGGCGGGTTCGCAAAACAAGGGATAATAAAAGTCTGAGTTTATGAAGAATTATCAGCTGAGACGTTGCTTGTTTTTATCTGCTTCAAATTCTAAACTCATTGCTTTGATCTGTAGTTGTCCGTCAAAGAGTTTTTATGTTTTGAATGACAAATAACTGCAAATCAAAACGTGTCAAAGCATGGTTTCATTACTTGAAGAGACACTTTATTTGTGAGGTGACTGGATTAAAGAAATTCTTGACTTTGATTTAAAAAAAAACTGATGACTAAATACCCACAATGCATTGCAACAAATGATGACATCATACATTATGTTTTGACAGGATGAGATGTATGCGGATTGCAATATTGCTCATTTGACCGAAGAATATCGTTTAGTCAAGTATCGCTCCAAATATGGAAACAAGGACACATTTACGGAGATTGCTGCAGCAGAAACTGATCTCGGTAACAAAAGTTACGACATCATTCTCAGCTATGCGCCGAGTGATGCAATGTACGCTAAGTTTTTCAGAGCGGTGATTAGAAGAAGAGCACCCTCATTGAAATTAATAGATGCTGTGTCAACAGATCATCGACAGATGGCTGTCTTGGATAGCGCATCTGTCATCGTACCTTTAATTTCTCCGGCATATGTTGAGTCCAACCAGGTAGTTGAGCTTCAGATAGCGTTGTCACGTCATCGCCTCGCTCATGATGAATCAACTTTATTCCCTATATTGTTGAACTATCTACCGCAGAAACCAACGTACTTCCATTTACTGCCATACGAAGTGTCTTGCGTCGATGAACACTGGCGAGAACAAGTTCGAAATGATCATTTCGTAATACCAGATGTAGGTGTCACTCTTGGTAAAGCTGAATCGTCATTATTGCCGGCCGTTTCAAAGGTCGCTGCTTGTGCACTTATGAAAGCTGTAGATATTCTTCTTCTTAGGTTAAATAGGTAAGAATTTGGCTTCTGACAAACTTCAGAATTTTTGGTTTCTCTAAATTAATAATAAATAAATAATTAATAACATTAATAACTTTTAAAAATAAATAAAATTTATTCTTAATATTATTAGTATTATACATCTGTCACCATAATGCCATAGATCACAGAATGCCGTAATTTTGAGGTATTGCACTGGGTATTTGCATCCTACCATACTAGGAAATGCGAATTCCAAATATGGAACGATTAAGCGTCCTCTAATAATAAAAACAAACATGACAGCCCCCAGGGTTTGACCAAACCCCACACAAAGAATTTGCTGAATCTGCTCTAAATTTTTTGGATTTTGGCATTCCCATGATGTACTGTGAAATACTTTATTATAGCTGGAATTTATTTTTTGCTGAAAAAAAAAAATTTGGATGTTTTGTGTGGATTTTATTTTCACTGATTTTAGACTACTTGAATGTAAAATACAGGAAAAAAAGTATATTTACTGGATTTAATTTTATTTTCACTGAATCATTCCTTCAGCGAAAATCAGAAAATTAATTCCAAGTAAAAATAAAGTATTTTATAAGTATCCTTGGGTGGGATGGATGTATTATAATAAGGTTATTACAAGAATACTGTGAAGTATGCACGCACAGCATAATCACCTCATTGTGAGAAAAAACTTTATTGTGTTTGACATTTCACCTTTTGTTATTTCATCATAACTTCGAAATTCGTTGTCTGATTGATCTTAACCATGTGTTAAGTAGATTGTAATTTAAGAGAGCTTCATATACTACAATAACAACCGACTTTGTTGACATTTTATGTGATAATGTTTATTTCAGGCAACAACCGACAATGTCTGGTACACAAAATGTAGTGCTATGTAACGTTGTCAAGCTGAGGCATGAAATACTGGCCACACAGAACGCAGAGTTTGTTGCCAGGGCCGAAAAGGTAAATATTTGAATGATTAATTTCTCACTTGGCAATATGAGGGCGCTGTTTAACTTATACTCGTACTGTGACTTCAAAACATAGATTTGATCAGTGGATTTATCTATTTGAGGAGGCTGTAAATTGTGTAGAATTTGTTTGGGTTAGGGATCTGTACATGATTCCGAAATATTAAAATGTTCATTATTTTCTCTTCATCAAATTAAATATTCACCATATTTACCATTCTCCGGGCATTATATTATAGAATTTTAGTTTTCGTGTTTTATTTTCGATGTTCCCCTTTTCAATGCAGCTAGTCAACATGCAAATAAAAAATCATGAATATTCATAAATTATTTATCTACCTCATGCATAAACAATAAACTAAGGTTCAAAAAAAACATTCACAGATAATTTGGTTCCAAATATTAAACGCTGTGCATGAATATTTGATGATAGTTGATGAATAAACGAATATATTCATGAACTTTTGATACACATTCAAGAATTGTTTTGGATTCATAAAAATGCGTGGAGCATTCATCAGAAAGTTTGATGATTATTTTAGGAAACAAAGTACTTCATGATATACAGGATATTTGATGAATTTCAAAAAATTTGTTTTCAAAATGTCTTTACTTCATGGCATTTTCGTGAAAGTCACTAATATCTTGTCTTACAGACTCTAGTGGTACTTTCTGAATTCTCAGCAAATATGTATCCCATGAAAATAAAGGGGTTTGCTTATTGTTTTGTCTAATCACTCTCAGAGTGTAATAATGTATATAAAATCTTAATATTTCATTTTAGTACATTTTTTTTTTTAATATACGCACAGTTTTTGCTTGACTCAGTGAAAGAGACTGAAACTATGGAAACCAAAGATAAAACAGGAGAGTCATCATCGAGGCTAGATATTGTTGACCGGTCAGTAACGGTGGAGGAGAGTGGTACTGACAAACAAACATCACCTCCAAGTGAAAGGAAAGCAAAATCTGGAGAGGAATCTAATGAAGATAATTGGGCGATGATGGATATAATTGCGCATCAAGGTGCGTCAACTACAGTGGCCACTGCGTCACTGGACATTGTTACAAGTAAGAATGAGACTTCAGATGAGAGCAATGTTTCTGAACATCCAACAGCACAAAACTCACTCTCAGCCACACCACAGGAAGTTGTACAGAGGCGTAGTGTTGCCTGTCATCTTTTATAAACACTATTTTATGATTTTATTTCATATTATGAAAAATATAACTAATATTATGGTATTTAGTGGACAGAAATGAAACATTACAAGTTGCGTAAATGTTTTTTGTTTGTTAAAAACCATAAACTTGGCTAGGATCAGCGATCACTTTCAAATCTGTACAACATCATAGTATATTTCTCGATTCATTCAATCAATTATTTTGACCAATCATAATCATGTAATGCATTGTAACTAATTTTTTTTTATCTTACTTACGTAAGTAGTTGTGGAGTCAACTCTTTTCATGTGCTGTTCAGTGTACAGCTATAATAAACAATGCCTAGACACATCTGTTTTGTCCAAGTACGTATCCTTGCTTCAACGAAAGTCTTGGAATTTAGTTTTACCTAATGTATTTACTTGAAGGTAAACGAACTAGCAAATGATGTATGTATAGGGTATTCCACTGTATTTAACAATGCCCAGAAATTTGTTAAATTTGTTTGATTTCACTTATTATTTGACTATTTGAGACAAAAGATTTAAAGTAAACAAAGAAAAATCT